ATTTTTGTACATCTTTTGGCCGATTCTGCTTTCTACGGAATTGTCTTCAGTGAATTTTTGCACAACTTTTATGAGGCATTGTTTTCTTCAGTATATTTTTTTCCTCCCCCTCCCCATTGTTGACTCTTTTTTTTTCATGATTTTCTTACATCACTCTCATTTCTTTTCACAATCTTTCCTCTATCTTTCTTAATTGATTTTAAAAATTCTTTTTGAGCTCTTCCAGGGCCTGAGACAAACTGCCATTTTTCTTTGAGGCTTTGTATATAGTTGCTTTGATTTTGTTGTCTTCTGAGTTTGTGTTTTGATCTTCCCTGTTACCACAGTAACTTTCTATGGTCAGGTTTTTTTTTGTTTGTTTGTTCATTTTCCCAGCTTATTTATTGACTTTTAACTTTATGTTAAAGTTTAGCTGTGCTCCCAGGGTAGAGGGGACACTGTCCCAAATTTCAGGATTTTTTGTGTCACTATTTTCAGAGCTAGTTCTGGGGGTCTGCAGGCTCTCAGTTCTTCCAAGGTTCTACGATCTAAGGAGAGGTATGGTCACTGCTCTCCTGGCCTGTGTTCTGATGTGTGAGAGACCACAAGCCCTCTTTTCCACTTTGGAACTCTGATCAGGGTCCCCATTTCTGTCAGTGCTTTGCCTTAGTGGGGGGGTGGGGGAGGATAGGACAAGCCAGAACCATGTATTTGCACTGTAAAGAGTCTTGCACCTAGTGTCAGCAAAGGGTCCCTTGTAATTTCATTCTGATAGATTGTCCAACCCTCTTACCACCTGTGGGCTGAGAGCTCTGGAAACCACCACCACTACTGATTTAACTGCCCCCAAGGGCTGCCGCTGGTTTTCCTAGCATGGCTTACATTGGCAAGGCCTGTTCTGGACTGAGCTCCACTCTCATTCCAGTGAGACAGAGCTTTCCTATCAACCTTTCAAGTAGTCTTGAGCTATAAAATTGTTTCATTTTGTCCTTTTGTCGGTTCTGCAGCTCCAGAATTTGTTTTAAGGCCCTTTTTAAATGTTGTTTGGAGGTGGATCTGAGAGAACTCAAAGGAATTCCCTGACTTCACTCTGACATCTTGGCTCTGCCCCCAATCTATGTTCTTTTAAGATTCCTCCTCTGTTTCCACTATCACTACCCTAGGATAGGGTTCATTACCAGTCACCTGGACTGTTGCAATAACCTCTCAATATATCTTCCCACTTTCATTCTCTCTCTTCTAGTCTTTCCTTCATAAACCACAAGTATATAAACTCTCTTCCACATATTTTGTGATGCCTCTCCTACGTGCAGAAATCATCAATGAGTCCCAATTGTCTCCTAAAGGAGCCCAAACTCCTTGGCATGATATTCAAGAACTGTCACAATCTGGCACCATCCTGCTTTTCTCACATTATTATCTCACGTTACTATATTTTATGCTCTAGCCAAACTGGTCTACTCCTTGTCCCAAAATATGTGCCAGTACTTGAAATACAATCCGTCACCTCCTTCGGCAGTTGAGTTAATTTTTAAGATTAACTCTATCTATTATTGTTATATTATCATAAAAACCAGTTATAATAATTAGCTTCCTTTAAACCTAGAAACAACATAATGGCTCCTATGCTTCCACCCCCATGTGGTTCCCTTCTCTGCAACTTCAGGAAATTAATTAAATAGACAAAAAAATTATACACTCATTGCTTTAAGCCCCCACTAAGGAAAAAATTCTTAACATTTACAAGGATGTTAAGTTCACTTCCTTACTTTACATTCATATTTATTTCTAAACCCTGGATTCTTACTGCTTCAGTAAAAATTCAGGTAAAATCTTTGGATAATGAAGCAGCACATTATATGTTAGAGAAATACACTAGAAGAAAAAGTTGGGGCAAGAGAAAATCTTTTCTCATAACTTGCCTTAGTCTTTGAACAAATGGGCACACTGGACTCATCTTGAGTTTTCTGCTACTTGACGCTGACAGGGTCAATGTCCCTTCTCAACCTCTCTTTTCACTGCCAAAGCTCAGTCTTACCTCCTTTTTTCCATTCTCTGGTTGCCCCCCCCTCCATCCACGGCTCATGGTTCTTTCAGGTTCTATATGACCCAATTCCTAACTCTCTGCTTTGAGATCCTCAGAATTTCTAACTAGTTCTGAGATAGCTCTTCCTTTTTATGAAAGTTCCTTATGATGTGACCAAATCTCTCAAACAATAACTTTGATTTAAGAAGCCCTGTTCACACTTGGTTCTTATTGACTGATTCACTTAAGAAGTGTTATTACTAAACAAAGGAAATTACATTTAATTGGGGTGGGATAATCAATGGAGCCTCACCATTGCATAATCCTGAATGCCCAGCTGATAATGACCTTCTTTAGATTTCACATACCACTTTTTTGGGGGGGAGAATTTTCTAAAGAATTTATAAAATAATTCCTACTTTAGTTATCTCTGTTCCTGTCCTATCCCCCCTACTAAACTATAAGCACCATGACAGCAAAGAGTATATCTTATCTAAATCTTATCAGATAAAATTACATATCCTTGGTGCCTAATACACTGTTGTGCATATAATAGGTGTTTGATATTTGTTGAATGAAGGAACCATAGAAAGGGAGGGTGGCTCAGCTCTTTCATTTTTTTCTCAATTAAGGAAATATTTATTAAATGCTTACATTGTGCTCACACAGTGCTAGGTGCTGGAGATAGAATGATCCCTCCCTTCCACTCATAGGCCAGTAATTTTCCTAAAACACAAGTATCACTATACCCACTACACTCAACAAATTCCAGGAGCTTCCTATTACTTCTAGGATCAAACATAAATTCTCTTGTTTTGCCATTTAAAGCCTTTCACAGTCTGGTCTCTTTCTAACATTTAATTTCCCTTGATATATTCTGTGGTCAATCTATCCTGTTTCACCCATAGGATGCTTGATCCCCAACCCCTGTCCTCCTGCTCTCACGGGTGGTCCCTCATTCCTGGGATGCTCTCTCTCCCATCTGCCTCCTAGCTCCCGTGTTTCCTTCAAGACGCAACTTAAATTTTGCCTTCTACAGGTGGCCTTTCTTGGTCCCCTTTCTTCCCTTCTACCAGCTGATGCCTTCCCTCTGAGCTGATCTTCCATGTGCCCTGTATCTTGACTATAAATATTTATTCATGCAGAGTCTCCCCCACTGGAATGTGAGCTTCTTGAGGGTAGGGATCATGTTTGTGCCTTTCTTTGTATCCCCAACCTTCAGCACAGAGCCTGGCATAGAGTAGGTGCTTAATAAGTGCTTGTTCACTGACTGAATAACTAATATGAACACAGAGAAGGATAATATAGATATAAGTAACAGGGGTAAAGGACAAGGCAGTCGAAAGGCTCTAGGAATATTTGAGGAGGGGGTTGCTGTTGTTTGTCCTTCATTCTTGAAGAAGACCATGACATCAGGATAAGGTGATATCATGATTTGCAAGTGAATTGGATTATAGTGAGGGAGAGCTGTGCAAAGTCACCAGCCTCACTCACTCCTCTGGAGTTATTTGGGTCCAGTGGCCAGATACGAATCAGAACAACTAGAGATGGCCCTCTGAGGAAGAGGAGAGCATGAATACCTAGGCTAGGGGCATCTGGGTTAGTAGACATTTGTCTTTGGTGGGTCTCCAGAATACTTTTGATATGGCACATGGTAGTACAACACCTGGCTGGTTTAGTTATTTGGAGTGCTGAGTTAATGAAGTTAGTTAATTCATTCCATGAACAATCAAGTTCCATGGTCATAGATGGGGTGGGGGGTGGGGGTAGGTGGGGCTAAACAGATACTGGACCTGTGATTTCATTGATATAGGCAGTCCCTGTTGAGGAAACTCCTGCTAAGATACCAAGTCAGTTCAGTTTCTTCTCTGATGTTTATATTCCCAGACCAGGGACTCTTAACCTTTTTTTGGATCATGAACCCCCTTGGCAGTCTGACTAGGAATAATCAAATGCATAGGACTACAAAGGAAACCAATTTTATTGCAGTATAGTTGTCAAAATATTAAAAGAAGAAGTTAATGGACCCTAGGACAAGAACTCCTATCTTAGAGAGTTGCCTAGAACATGGAGAGTTAAGTGAGGGTCATATAGTCAGTATGCATCACAGGCAGGCCTTCAATCCAAGTCTTTCTTGCTCTAAAACCATTCTACCAGTCTACTTTTCACAATCACAGACAGGACGTCTACTTCATCCCAGCCATCATTTAAAAAAAAATTAAATTTCTATCTTTTTCAATCAACAAAAATCCATCATATGTCTCTCCCACTCATATCCCTTTCTTCTTTGAGAAGGAAAGAAAAACAAAATCCCTTGTTATAAATGTTTATAAGCAAAACCAAATTCCCACATTGGCCATATTAGACAATGTCAGCAAACACATCCATAAAATCAACATCACTGCCAAAGCAATACTTGAAATCTTAATGGTTGGGAAGTACTGCCATCTTATCACATGGTGATGACAACACAAAATGGGAAACACAATAACATATTTGGTGCTTCTGAGATTGGTCATGACAGACAAAAAAAAAAAAGGCTGTAGATATTTATGTATCCTGGGGCAAAATGTATCCCCCAATTCCCATTCTTCAAATCCCTATGAAAAGAATTTCCAATAGTTTCCCCTAAAGAAAGCAAAAACCCTAGCGTTCCAACCTCCTCCAATACCAAACTCTATTTTGAACTTGCTGGGCTCTCAGATGTAACCTGAAATTAAAAGCCAAGCTCTATGATGCCACAGTCTAAATAAGAGAGGAGAAGGGACTCTGCTGAAATATGACAGTGGCAGCCAAATTAGACCAACCATAAACACGTACCCTAATTACACTTCACTCCAGCCTCAAATCTGTACACAAGAAACTGGAGAGTATAAGTTTAGGTTGGAAATATTCTGTGGCTAACAACCATGACCAATGTGCCCAACAGAAGCTTCAAGGACTCTTGCTAATTTCTCGGCTCAGGGAAGGCACTCATGGGGGTGTTGGATTATACCTTTTTCCTTGTGGTGCAAAGTGTACTCTCCGGCTTGGACTCATTTCACAATCAATTGGTCATTTTTTCTTTTCCTTCTGTAATGGTGCCAGTTCTCTCTGTTATGTATACCTGGAAGAAGAGGAAGAAAAATCAGAGATGTTAATGATTGAGGAGTGATTATAGGGGCAGCCTTTACAAATGCAGTCACATTTGGGGAATGTTTACAAAAGTAATCATATAGAATTGAAATCTGATCTTTGCCTATTGTCTGCAGTCTCCATTGACCTAAAGAGTAAGAGTCAATAGTTTTTAAATTATTGGCCTAAACCTCCAAGGGAAACATCACGTACTTAAGTAGATTTAAGATATATACATCTATACAAGATGTAGACATATATGGGGGTTCACTAGCTACTGGAGGAGCTTGAATGGAGCTTTGAGGCTACTGAGTCGTTTTAGTTGTGTTTGAGTCTTTATGACTTTATTCGGCGTTTTCTTGGCAAAGATACTGGAGTGGTTTGCCATTTCCTTCTCCAGCTCATTTTACGTATGAGAAAACGGAAGCAAACAGGGTGAAGTGACTGGCCCAAAGTCACACAGCTAGGAAGTGTCTGAGGCTGGATTTGAACTCAGGAAGATGAGTCTTCCTTACTCCAGGCCCAGTGCTCTGTATACCATGCTCCCTAGCTTCCCTGAAGGAAGCAGGGATTCCATTTGGCAGAAGAAAGGAGGGAGTGCATTCCAGACATGGGGAAAGCCTGTACAAAGGCACACAGATGAGAGATGGAATATAGTGTAGAAAATAAAAAGCTTGGTTTTATTTTTCTGTTCTTCCTTTCTTGATTCCTCTCTTCTCCCTGCCTTATGCCCTCTCCACCAAAAAAAAAAAAAAAAAAAAAAGGAATTTTTAGTTGGGAGAGAGCTGGATAAATCAGTGTTTTAATGTCAGAATTTGTTTTCTTTCCTTCAAAACCTTTGTAACCTTGAACCTATGGCTGCAAAATATAATCAGTTTAAGAGGCAAGTAAAACATTTCAAACTCAAGACTCATGACCTCTAAGCACCAAACTCAGGCAATCAATTTTAGTAAACAGGTAGCGTTGTAAAAAGAACAGGGGAGTAGGAAAGTTTCTGACATTTATTACTTCTGTGAAACTGGAATGCCATTCATCATTCTGGGCCTCAGTTACCTCATCTGTAAAATGGGGATAAAGATGCCCACAGCACCTAGTTTATAGGTTGCTGTGTGTGGAGCAAATGGTATGTACATCAAGTATATACCAATCAATCAATCAACACTGGTTAAGCATCTACAAAGTAGATAGAGCACTGAGTTTGGAACCAAGACTTTATGAATCAAGAATCATGAATCATGAATTGAAATCTGATCTCAGACACTTTCTAGCTGTGTGACCCTGGGCAAGTCATTTTACCCTCTTTGCCTCAGTTTCCTCATCTGTAAAATGAGCTGGAGAAGGAAATGGCAGAAAACCGTAAATGGGGTCATGAAGAGCTGGACGTGGCTAAAACGATTCAACAACAAATGTGCCAGGCACTCTGCTAAAGGTTAGGGATACAAAAAAAAAAAAAGGCAAAAGATAGTCCCTGACCTCAAGAAGCTTATAATCTAATGGGGACTATAACATGCATACAAATATATACAAAGTAAGCTATATACAAGATAAAGAAGAAATAATTGAGTGAGAAGGCACTAGAATTAAGAAGGGTTGGGAAAGGCTTCCTATAAAAGAGGAGATTTTATTTGGGACTGCAGAAAAGCCAACTATGGTTAAGGTTTAATGCGTTTCCTTTCGGAAAATTTAAACTGCTCACCTCATGAACCTGGCTACTCAGTATATTATGCCTTCAATGAAATAAACTGTGTATTACATTAACTGAATCAGAGGCTGCTAAACCTCTAAGAAGGTAGTTTTGAATAAGGTATTAACTAAAATCTTAGGGCCTCGATTAACTTCAAATGCATGAGTGGCTCATTCCTAGAAAATAGTGTACTCACAGGAGGTGAGTAAAGCCCTTATATTTATCTTTTCTCCAAATGCTAACTCGAAACACAATTTTCTTAAAAAGCATCCCCATTTCTGTCTGTTCTTACACAGTACAACTCCTCCAATTTTTAAATGGTTCGAAAGGAAATACATTAAACCTTAAAAATCTCAAACCATGTAAGTCTCTTTCATTTTTCTGCAACATATTTAAGGCCCACATGTATTTGACTGATGTCTTTCTGGCTCTTTACATTTCTAAGAAACATTCTCTCTCCCATTCCACTCTTTGAAGGAATCAAAATAATCAATTTTAACTTTCCTCCAACTCTTTTCTCACACTGCTGGCTCTGTACATAGGGACTTAGCATTTTTATCTTTAAAAGGTTAGAATCTGAAGACTTCATTTCAAAACAAAACAAGATGCACCATTATTTTCTCCTTCCTTCTCACCTCAAAAGGCCAGTGAGAAAATAGGAGGGTGACAAGAATGGAGGATTTCAGGTCTTTTTGTTTTGGGTAAGAGATTTTATCAAGGATGTAGGATTTGAAAACATTCTTTTTAACTTTTGAGGTTAAGAAATGCAAGTCTTCCAATAACACTAATTAACTGCATTATATTTTTTCAACGGTATACCTACTGAATACTAAAAAAGAAAGCAAAAACACTTAAAAGTTGGAAGCATACATCTCCCTTCGCAGGCTCACTACCAGAAAGTCAGACACTCAGTTGATGAATTATTTTGGCCACAACTTGGGAAGATGGTCTACGGAAGGCATAAAGGGGTTGGAGGTCTCTGTTTGTGGAGAAAGTGCCCCCCACTAATGAAATCAGGGAACTTCTCAAGTTTGAGGTGCCAAAGTAAGTCATGCAAAGAGGGATTAGCCTTATTCTGCTTGGCTTTAGAGGACTGAACAAGGACCAGTGGGTGGAAGGTAGGGGGAAAGTTGATTTTTGACTCAAGGTGTCCAAAAATAAAGTTGAGTATCAGCCTTGGGAAGAAGGGAATGAGTGAGTGGTGGATGATGGGCAGGAGGGGAGGTGGTCTTCAAAAGGGAGCTTAGTGAGCTACTTTTTGAGGCTACAGTGAAGAGGGCTTATGCTTGAGGCAAGAGTTGTACTGGTCCACTTCTGGGACCCTTCAAACATTAAGGTTCTATATGTTGTTATTGTTCATTTGTTTCAGTCTTGGCTGACTCTTTGTGACCCCATTTGGGATTTTCTTGGCAAAGATATTGGAGTGGTTTGCCATTTCTTTCTCCAGCTCATTTTACAGATGAGGAAACTGAGACAAACAGGGTTAAAAGTGACTTGCCCAAGGTCACATAGCTAGTAAATGTATGAGGCTGAATTGGAACTCAGGTCTTCCTGACTCTAGACCTGGCACTCTATTCACTGTGCCACCTAGCTGCCCTCAAGGTTCTATGAGATACAGGCACTGCTATTTCTTCTTTATAGACATAGGAAATTACACAGACTTAGAGGAATTACAAGGAAAAAGTGAAATAAGTTATCCAAAGTCACACTCATCTTAGTGAGGGCTAGGATGCTGGAATTTTGATTCCCAAGTCTAATGCATTTCTCAAAAGATCATAGAATCACAGATGTGGCTCTGGAAGGGAACTCAGAGGCCATTTAGGCTGACCCCTTCATTATGCAGATGAGGAAACTGAGGCCCAGGAAGGGGAAGTGACTCGGCCAAGGGCACAGGAATAGTATAGTCTGGAGAACCTAGGTCCTCTAACTGCAGGGCCAGGGCTCTTTCCACTTTCCTATTCAGCCTCACTGACACGACTATTAAAGAAATAAAAGGGGGTTAGAAAAAGTACGTAAAGCACACATTGTGCTTTCCTGCCTCCGAGTCTTTTCATCACTTTGTTTCTGATGCCTAGAATCCTACTTGTTGCTTTCGTACCCTTAACTTCAAACTCGACACAAATACTCATCTGTCCAGGAAGCTTTCTTTGATCCTCTTCCCTCCTGCCCCCAGACGGTAATAATCTTTCCCTCCTTGATCCTCACAAAACACTCTGCTCTGAGACATTATTTTGTAAATCTATGTATATGTCTGAGGATCATTTCTTTCTCCTTGAAGGCTGGAGCTGTATTGTATTTTCAAAGTCTGCCGGCACTTACCACAGTGTTCTGTGCCACTTTTGGGACCAAACCTGTGATGTCATTGGCATAAGGATCCACCAGTAAGGAAACCGCCCCTCTACCCAGATAAATAGACACTGGTTTTGAAACTTAAGAGTCGTACCTGGGCCACCAAGAGGTCGACTTGCCCAGGGTTACACAGCTGATATGGATCTGAGGGGAAATGGGGAAACTCATATTTTCCTGAGTTTGAGACCAGCCCTTTCTCCACCACGCCGTGGCTGCCTCTCTTCCTACACAGCGTAGGCATTTAATAAATGACTGTTGAGTGCCAAGTGTGAATATTGAACAGAGGAGAAAACAGCTTTGGACAGCCTTTCTCCCTTCTAATAATCTCTAAGTGGCTCTTTTTTCAAGGTAAGGAAACCATTTTTATGGCATCATATTTCATTTTAAAAGTATCTTAGAGACTATAGTTGCTTATTAATGTCCAATTATGATCATTGTTTCTGCTATGCAAAGAATATTGATGGAGTGAGAGGGTTCCTTCTATCATAAGAATTATCTAGAGAGTATTTGTTCTGCGTGGGTCAAGCTGTACGGAGGGATGTGAAGAGGTAACCCAGAGTCCACTCACTGGGGCTTGAACCAAAGACTGCGAGGTAAGTCCTGACCCAACACAAGTACAACAAGGCTCATTGGGGCCTATGAAAAGCCACTTTCTTCCTCCTTTAAATAATGATCTTTTGGCTGGCGCAGGGAAGGAGGAGCTGCTTTGGCTCTAGTAGGCCGAACGCTTGGTGTCCTGGTTTCCTCTGATGCTTTGGAATGGGGCTCACAACTTGTTACTATCAGAGCTTCCACACCAGAAAAACAAAACAAAATAAAACAAAAAAGCCATGCTGTCCAGCAGTCCGGAGAGAATCGGCAGCTATGCTACCCTCCGACATCCTCACATCTTCACATATCCCAAGTAGCCTTTGCATGAATTGGGAACGATTCTGGAGAACTCATCAAGACTTCAATTT